AATTATGTAATATTATAACACAATCAGCTAAATTAATAGCTGTTTTTAAATCTTTAACAGAGATTTCTTTTAAAGCTCTAAATCTAATTTTCAATCTACCAAATGCATATTCTACAACAATCCTATACTTTGAATGAATAAAATTAAACTGACATTACCTATGATTAGAAGGATTTTTAAAAGGAGATATCAAAAAAAAGGAAATTGGATATGCTAAATCATCTAACACATAATTTTCATCTTGAACATATTCTGTTCTATTAAGATAAAAATCTGAATTGCTATAAACTCGTGCATTATGTACCAATCCAGGCTATCCTATTACATAATAAAATTCCTTTAAAATCAACAATTCCTTGACATTGAATTGCATATCTTTTTTTTCTTGTAAAGTATGCTGTTGGATCTTGTGTTGGTGTCTCAGTTAAAATAAAATGAGTTCCATCTATAGCTCCTATAACATTTTGAAATCCACCAATATTTTGAAATCCTGTATAAATAACACTTTGATTATTGTCTTTAGGCCATTGAACAAATTCTGATTTTTTATTTCTTATTGCTTTCATTACACAATTAACATAAAGAATTACAGAACCTTCTGATACTTCAAATCGAGAACAAATACTCATGATATCATCTTTAGAACCAAATCATTAAAGAAATATTGCTAATTGAAAATCAACAGATGCTTGTGGCTTATTTCCTTTGTCTTGAAATACTATATCATGCTGTAAGATTTGTACTAGCCTATTAAATTGTTGTTTTTCCATTCTTAATACTTTTTTATATCATATATCATCATATAAAGGTAAGATTTCATACCACCAATGTTTAGATTTAACAACATTATGTGTTCGAGAAACAAGATAACGACTAGAAGACAAAGCAAGAAGAACTATTTTTATTAGTTCATAGTTATCATCATCTAGTTCGTTTAGGTTTAGTTCATTTTTAAAAGAATCATCTATCTCCTCCATTATTAATAACCGCATCGTGTTTAATTGACATGATTGGTTAAAATTTACAGATCAACTCAGCATTTATCTTGCCATTTTTAATTGGTCAAAATAATTTCATGAAAATCGGATCAGATCAAAGTGGAACAGGGCAAATTAAATTCATTGGAAACAGAGAAATATATTTATAGAATTTTTATGTGACGAATACCAGATGATCGAACTTAACGTTAAGGGAAGATTAAAATGTTAGAAACTAGTATATCTATAAAAATAAAATTAAAGCGATTGAACGTATATGTATTTTAACTTTATATGCAGTGATGATATTAACATTCTCAAAGTTATATTGGAAGGAAACAATCAATTTTTTGAGCAAAATCCTAGTTTTCTGTTTTACGAAACTTCCAAATAAGTTTTTATTTTTATGAATTTGTAATAATAATTAAACATTAAAATATTACGTGTTGGTGTCCTATTAACTTTTAATTAGGTGAAATTCCTTTATTACGGTGTATCCTTTTAAATATGCAATATCGTGAACCTGAAACTGGAATATCTTGTCCGCTACGTAGATCCCCACCCTTATATACATTATGCCCATTATGTTCATTATGTTCATTATGTTCATTATGATGTCCATTGTGACCGTTAAATCCAACTTCTACTCTAATTTCACGTTTAACAGAAGAATATTGTCGTGGATCCTGAAGTTCTCTTGAATTAAATTGATAAGATGTTTTTGAGGGAATTAATCTTTTTGAATAAATATCCTCCGAATTTGAAACAGGTTGATAACGTCCTGAAGGTAAAGAATTTTGACCAAAATTATTGTTAATTCGATCATTGATTAACCTCCTTGAAACTGGTAAAGGAGGAATATTGTCGTGGTATTGAACATTACGCGTATTGTTGTTATTGATACGATTAAATGAATTTGGAGGAGGTGGCGCATTCATATATATTCTCCTTCCTTCCATTCTTGTGGAAGAATGATTTGGGATCGGAAAAGAGTTATTAATAAAATTATTATTGTAAGGTATTGGCTGTCGACCTCTGTCGTTATTTAATTCAATAACATTTTTGCCTCCGTTCGTTGATACTTGTCTTTTAATAAAAGTATGATCCGTTTGAGGTATAAATGACTTATTTGGGGTATTGGAATTGGAATCGTAATCGTATAACCAGTTTGGTAGGTCACTACCTTTACGTTCATAATATTCTCTTAAGATGCGAGAAATATGAGTTTCGCCATCCCAATCATCCGTTTCTGATTCTAAATGAATAAACATTTTTTTTAAAATTCAAACAAATAGTAAAAAAAAATTACAAAAAAAAAAATAATAATAATAAAAATCTAACCATTATCTGAATCTTCACCAGAATTATTGTATATATCAGCAGCGTTGCTCATAATTTTATTCCATAAATTATAACTTTTAAAGTTACTCGAACTAAAATTTTTCGTATTAGAAGAACTTGTTGAAGAGGATTGGAATTTCTTTGGTATAGCAGGTAATGCAGGTACCACTTCTGAAGTTGGCATTACACACTTATGTCTTGCAGGATATAAGCCAACATCTTGACCACAATCTTTACATAATATTACAACTCGAGAAACGCGATAATCTATAGCTTCTATCATTTTTTTTTCTTTTTTTGAAAAAGCTTTTACTTGAATAAAATTAATTCTATATATGCAAAAATGAATCTATTTTATACGTTTTGTCCAGCAAACGTAAAATAATTAATAAAAAAAAAAAAAAAAAAAAAAGGAATAATAATTTTTTTCTCGATTGATTTTGAAACTAATAATCAAAAAAAATTGTTGCACCAATTTCATTGATAATCAAAATTCATTACCTAATCTAATCTAAATGATTCTTTCAATTAATCAACTAACAAGTATGGTATTGTCATCAATAAAAGATTTACCAATAGAATGTACAAGAACTTTTAATTCACATCAAAGTCCCGTTCATATAGCTAGATATAATACTGGTGGAGAATACGTTTTAAGTGGTGGACAAGATAGAACCATACGTTTATGGAACCCTGAAACCGGTTTAAATATTAAAACATATACTGGTCATGGTAAAGAAGTATTAGACCTATCTGTGTAAGTAGTAGGTAGCAGTATACTTGAAATGGAAGAAAATGAGTTGTGATAAAGAATAATTAATGAAAAAAAATCGAATAGGACGCAAGATAATTCTCGGTTCGCGTCTTGCGGTGGTGATAGACAAATTTATTATTGGGATGTTTCAACCGGAACTACTGTTCGTCGATTTGAAGGTCACAACCAGGTATTATTTCATAAAAAGTTTTAAATTTGGATATTACATGAATTTCCTTAATGTGATTTACATCGGTTAATACTAGCGAGTAAATGCAGTATCTTTTAATTGGGAAGGAACGGTCTTGGCGAGTGGTAAGATTGATTTGATTTCTTTGTTAACGAGAATAATATACAGAATAATTTTATTCTTTTCGTTTCCTTAAGGTTCATATGATACGACAATAAGATTATGGGATTGCAGGTAAAATTTATCATCCATCTTTTTTTCGAGAAGCCTTCTCACTCATCCAGTTCTTGTAATTGATAGATCACATTCTCGTGCTCCAATACAAATTCTTGAAGAACCCAAAGATAGTATTACTTCATTACATGTGATTCAATATGAAATTGTTTCTGGAAGCGCTGATGGTTGCATACGTACTCATGATATTAGAATGGGGGCTCTTATAACTGACTTAATCTCTCGTAAGTTATAAGATGACTTATTATAATTTTTAAACTGAATTAAAAGATACTTATTCTGTCATGTAAAAAAAAGATCCCGTTACGTCGGTTCGTGTATCGGGAGATAATAATTGTATCCTTGCTAGTTCCCTTGACAATTCTATTAGATTAATGGATCGAGCAAATGGTGGCCTTTTAAATGAGTAAGTAAAGTTGACTCCTTGATTTCTCAGTCATTTGACATGGTACATTAAATTTTATTTATTATAGGTTTAAGGGTCATAAAAATGCTTCATACAAAATTCATTCTTGTTTGTCGAATAATGATGCTCATGTGATAAGTGGTTCAGAAGATGGACAAATATACATTTGGGACTTATTAGAGGTATAATAAACTTAATTTTCAATTTTTCAATTTTTTTTTAAAAAAAAAACCTAAAGTTCATTAATTTCATATTTCCTTTTTAAGGGAAACCTTTTAACTTCGTTCAAAGCTCATTCCAACGTTGTTACATGTGTTACAATTCATCCTAGGTATGATTATATGATATCTACTAGTGTAGATGGAACTGCAAAATATTGGAAACCTCAAAATATTTAATGTTACTTTCAAAAAAATTTTTACTTTAATAAATTATCCACTCATTGTGATATTAGTCAACTTGGTTGTTAAATTAAAGAGGAATGAATCATCATCATTTGATAAAATATAAATGAACCAATTGCTTTTCTCTATCGGGGAAATTGTTAGATATCATTTAATACACGTGAAGGGGAAAAGGAAATAATGCGAATAGACCATGTGAACTTGAAAAAAAAAAAATCTACTATTATTTTAAAGAATTATATAAAAGTAACCGATCTCTTCGGTGTTATTCTTCACCTTCCTCATCATCTTCACTCTCGCTTTCGACAGTCTTTAGCCAAGTAACAAAAGGTTCCATTTGTTTTAAAAATATGCCTTTGCATTGAGATTTGGCTCCCTTCTCATACCAATAAAATATTGCCGTTTCAGATACAACATCTTCTTCATACAAAATTTTTACAATTAGACGGAAATGTTTCATCAATTTTGTATCTTCGTGACAATAAATTTGAATTTTTTGCAAAAGTGCAAGTTCTGACTTGGGATTAGAGGCAAAAGCAGCGAGAATTGCAGCATTTTTCTATTAAACAAACATGGAATGAATTTATGTTAAGTATAGTCATATATCATTAGTTAAATATGCAGCAAAAGATGTAGCCTTACTTTAACTTGACGCGAGGCTTGATTTTCAATCATCTCTGGGCGAGTACTCCAATCAACAGCACGCATCAATGCATCCCAGACAATTTGAACAAAATCACTTTCCTGCCAATTACCTTCCTTAATGCGTTGTTTAAGATAAGAAACAACCTATATATAATAAATGTACAAATAAATTTAATATTAAATGGGCTATAAAAACCGAAGGGACAAATTTATATAAAAATTGTACGATTAAATACGTCTTGTGTATTGTTATCGGCTTGCAACATATCCTTAACATGCTCAATAGTTTGTTCTTTCATCGAATTTTTTTGTTTTTGACTATGGTATTCAACGAGCTGTTTCATCTCCTCCGCTTCAAAATAACGAGCAAAGTACTCTTCATCTCGTTTATTCGGGGGAAAGAATTCCAAAAGCTTGTTGTCTATTCCTGCCTTTTTAAGAGAACTACCTAGGTGATCAATATTCTGTTCACCAAGATAAGCCTTGAATGCAGCAGTGACAAATTGGAGTGAGAGGCCTTCTTTGACAAGATGTTCTTTGAACAAAACTGTCAAAACGTTAATGCTAGTCATTTGACTAGAAGCAAACAAGCCAATTGCAGTGGCAAGTTTATTATTTTCCTCGGTGCCCCATTTGTTAATATATTGAAGTAAATTTTTAATGGTTTCTTCAAAACTACGTTGTAAATATTTGTAACGGCGAATTAGCTTATTAAAAACTTCAACATGCTTTTTGATACTTTCGATATTATCTTCGGCAGTGAAAATTGAAAATGGACTACGTTTCGCTCCATCGTCAACAATTGTGCCTCCGGGGGCTAATTATAAATAAATAAAAAAAAAAAAGTCGAAAGGATCAATAGATCAATTCAAGAAATTTAGAATTAAATGGATCATTAAATAACTTACCTAATACTCCACCGGTAAAGAGTATTTCAAATAAAGTCTCGCCGTATTTTCTAAACTCAAGGGTATTTCCAGATGTATCTAATTTTGAAGATATATCGTCAAAGCTTCCAGGTTGGGCTTCCAAAAGTACTTTTAAAATACTATCTCTAAAAACTGTATAGTTTAATAATAAATAAATAAATAAAAATATAGCGTTGCTTATTATTTAAAAGAATTTTTTTTTAAAAAACAAAAATAATTACTAGTTGGTTCGTATTTAGCTTGAGCTTTTTGTTGACCCTAGTTTGAAAAGATAAGAAACAATGAATATCAGAACGATTTAAGATGTTGATTGTGATGTTTAGGAAAATAGATTTAGTAGCTGGACAAACCTTTCTCGCTTTGATTTTAACACCATGTAAAGCTGGTAAACTCTTTGAGCTGCTAGAGTTGGCGGTGTTTTGTTGCGCACTCATTAAAATATCAGAAAATTTATAAATCGACTTTTTTTGTTAAAAATAAGAGAATTTTTAAAAAAAATAAAAATAAAATAAAAATAATAAAAAATTTAATAAAAAAATGATGGGATTTATGTATCAAAAAAAACAAATTATGCGGACTTTTCCATCAATTTGAACCAATTAAAGTTGCTTTATTAGTCCGGAGCATAGCGGCTCCGGGTATATTGCAATAACCCTGTATCCGGGGTATATTACATGGGAGGATACAGGATGGGTATTATACAAAAAGATTTATAAAGCATATATGCCTTTTCATGCTATAAGGCATTTATTTATATAACCTAATTCGCCAATGATCATAACTGCAGTAAACGGGCCTTATCTTCATAGCGAGGCTTTATATAATCTTATTAGAGAATTGCCTGCCCTACATAGATTGGTTTGTTTAGAGTTACTGTGCTTTTTAACATATGGACTATTATAATTCCTCAAATGCTTTATAATAGAAAACTTACTAAGGCTGAACCAAATTAATTATCTGTTTTGCTGTCCTCCTCAATTTTCGGGAAAAATATATGGGGCTTTGCAATAGAAAGGGGGGAAACTGCCGGGAAAAATCAATTTTACTTTTATATGCCAAATATGATTTTTAGGCTGAAATATGTTCAAATTTAGCATTAACTCCCCCATATAACTATGTGATAAAATCCGGCCAATAAATTACATCTACCGTTAAACAAATTTTTTTTAAAAAAATGCAGGTCGCGTTTTTCAAGCAGTTTTGTTTTACATGACACGACATTTAAAAAAGGTCATAAATGTATATAATTGTTCAAGTAAATGAGCTAAAATTTTAATAGGACATTTGGCGAAGAATGTGTTTGTTTTCAACTTTATTTGATTTCACCGAAATGTAAGTGTAGAAGTTAGAAAATCAGATACTGGACCTTGGATTTTAGTGCATGGTTAAAGGATAAACTTTTATTAATGAAGACATTAGGATTTATGTGTCTTAAGTATATTCTTCTTCCACAAAATGTTGCTGAATTTTTATCACCACCAATACAATTTCCTAACCACGGTAATATATACGTGATATGCTGTGACAAAAGTAATCAGAATCACGTTTTTATTAATTGCACTTCGAAAATTAATTAAAAATATATGAAAATTAAAAAATATATGCTTTAATGTCCTGCGAAAAAGTTTGTCTAAGCTTAACTAATAGCTTATATTATTACCATCACCCTCAATTACTTTGATTTTCATTTCATATATTACAAGAAAGATATGTGATTATATTTTAGCACTTGCTTCTTATTGTTAATACAAAAAAATGTGCTAATTATAAGAATTAACAATTAAATTTTGTTAATATAAATGACATAAAAGAATGGTTTATTTGTTGAAATTCAGGCTAATATTGGCAAGATGCAAGAAGGTGATGACACTATAATTCAGATGTAAAAAAAAAATGTTTTGTTAAATAAACTGGTATTAATTATTCAAATTATTGTATTTATTATATTTTAACCTAATTTAATTTATTATATTTGATCTTATATACTGTTTGTTTTTCAGTATTGTAAAGTGGATAATTAAATGACTTTGTATTAATAAGGGTATCCTAATAATAAGTATATTAAAAAAATATTTAGGATAAAATGAAAAAATTCTAAATATCATCTAATATAAGTTGAATTCTAGGAAAAATCAAAAGTGTTTTGAATTTTACAGCAGACTAGTAGTGAATATTCTTCTTTATTTATATTATTATATTGCTTTGAGATTACCTTTCTAACGTAAACATAAAGATTTTTATGTATTTTATAAGAATTTGCTTAATTTTGATGAAAGAATAGTAAAAACTAATGACTTAAATTAAATTTAACAAAGATAAGTTTATGCTAAATCTTTACTTTTGGCTTTATTTATATGAATATTCACTTAATTATAGATCTTTCTATTCCTTCTAACTTTTCATTCAAACATATAAATAGCATTTTAAGTAAAGAAATTTATATTTACAATTAATATACAATATATATTATCTAATTATTCATCTTTTTAGATTCTTTGCTAAATAATTATTGATAAATAAAACTTAAATTTATGTATTAATTAACATTTGACAATAAAATCAGTAAGATTATAAATGCAATAGAGATAAAAAGTTTTAATTTATTGAAAAATCAAATATCTGTTAGATCTCTTTTAGAGATAAATAATATTCTGCTAACAAAATATATTAATTTTGACTTAACTTTATTAACATCTATAAATTAATTATTACTAAGAATAAATAATTTTCAAGTGAGATTTAAAATTATTTCTGAAAATATTATTCTTTTATAATTAATGCTTGATAGCAACTTATAAATTGCTTAAGTTTGAAACATTTAAAGAAAATTCAGAAAACATCATAATGATTTGAATAAAATAAATCAATTAAAAAGATAAAAAATTGTTCTGAAGTTTTTAACTCAGTGATATCTGCATAATATATTAAAAGTTCTTATATATTTGCAAAATTTATAACAAATAATGATACTATTGATTGTTATTCAGACAAATACAATATTTTTTTTACACATATAGTTGATTTGTCAAATTTAACAGAATACTCTAGTATATATTTGATATATTTGATGGTATTACCCTATAACTTTGATAAAAGTAAGATATTATTTTAGTGTTAATAATAATAAAAAATCTGTAATATTAAACTAATATGTATCCTTAAACTCATAACTATATAGTACTAGTTTATTATATTCTTAGTTATTGTAATTTATTTTAATAAAATATAAAATTACAAGTTATTAAAAAGCTCTTAAATATTTAGCTATTAATCTGATTAGCAGAAAATTCCATATTTGCTAGATTTATTATTTTAATTAATCAATAATTTCACTATTTTTGAAACTTAACTATTGCAAAAGTTCAATTAATTTTTATGTTTTAAATTTTTTAAAAGCTTTTTTTAGTTAAAACTTTATCAATTTTATATATACTTATTATTTAGAATTTGATATTTTTACAATCAAAAAAAGTTTATTTATAATACAAGTTACTTTTAAAAATCAATAATAAAAAAAAATTAGTCTATTTTTAATATATTTAGTAATCAATTATAAAACATAAACTCTAAATTTCATTTATTTTAAATTGATATTTGATATAAGCTAAACTATACTAAAATTCTTATATTACTATAGTTGATTGATACTTGCTAATTTTTTGTTAACAAATAATATTAGCTGATTCTTGGTTAATTTTAATAATAACAATTGATCATATACTGTTAATTCTAAATTTAGTCAATTTTTAGTATTAAATAAATTATGCTAAAATTTTCTGCTATTATAGTTGATATTTTTAGCTAATTTTTTTTTTGCTAATTTTTTATTTTGATCTGTGATATTACATAAATTATTCAAAATAATGCTATTAATATTTTAGAAAAGATTTATCTTTATCTATCATCATATAATACTTTTTATATAAAAATCAAATTTTTTAAAAAAACAGAAAATCAAAAATATAGAAAAGATAAATATGTTTAATTTATTTAAATTTATAATAGATAATTTATTTTTTTTAGTAAAAAAATCATATTTAATTAAGAAAGTTTCTTTGTTATTTATTTTATTTATTATAAAGCTAACATTTTATTATTTAACTTTAATATTATTTTAGATATTAAATGATAATTTCAAAATAGTTTTAAAAAACTTTTATTAGATATATATTATTTATATACTTATAATATAAAAGATAATTTTAAAATTTTTTTATTAATCCAAATGTTATGTAATTAGAAGGATTCTGAAATAATATAAATAATTAATATAAAATATATTCAAATAGTTTAAAAAAGAAAATAATATATAATAATCATATAATAAAACTAAAATAAAAAAATACAAGAAAGAAAAAATGCATATAAGTAGAAAAAGTAATGAAATATTATGCAATAATTGAATAATAATTACTTACTTATATTAAAATAATTATATTAATATAATCTAATCATTATTTAATAAATAATATAAATATTAAAAAATTATTATATAATAATTATTTAAATAAAGTATGAAAATTTATAAGAAATGAAGTAATTAGTTATAATATAAGAAAAATATATTATAAATAGCCTTAAAAATTTATCATATAAAAAAGAAGAGATTTTTGAAAGAAAATATTCTTTTTTTAGAAACATTAATAAAAGAAAAGAGGAGAAAAAAATTTTATTCTAAAAAGTTTTAATATTATTTTTTATATTATCGTTATTATATTTTTACAAATTAAGTTTATTTTGTCTAATTAAAAGTTCTATTTTCAGAAACTTGCAAATTAGTCAGTCCTTATACTGGTTAACTTAAAAATTAATTTTGAATTAAACATTCTAGAAAAGTCACATATAAAGTAAAACTTCTGTTTATAATTAGAAAACTAAGCCTCTTTTAAAATTATAATCAAATTAAATCTAACTTTAGTTAAGTTGTTTTAATCTGCTTAACTATTAAGTAGGATAACTTATTAACTAATAAGAACTTTATTTGGAGAATTACTAAAAATATAATATTATATATATAATATTTAATAAATTTTACTGATTATAAAAAATAGTAATTAATACAACTCAAAATAAATTTTTAAAATATTAGTAATAGATTTTTTTTTTTTACTT